ATAATAATAATAAATAATAATAATAATAATAATAATAATAATAATAATAATAATAATAATAATAATGGAAGACTTGATTTTTCCAATCATTTGCAGAGACAAGAACTATAACCTTGACTAGCCCAGCCTAATTCGCACTTTAAAGCTACTATGGTTAGCGTAGATGAAGAGTGAATTTTTTTACCACTCGATTCCCTGTAGTGCACTTTTCCACCCTGCGTTGGCATCCAGTAAACGGCGATCACTGGTTGCGATGATGGTAACTGCGACGGTTTCATTGGTACCGCTGATAAGCCAATCGCGCCATCACGTCGAATCTTTAATTAATACATTTGTGCAGTTAAAAAGCGAATGAAGATAGGTACAGAAACAGATGCACGTAACATTCGAAAATTTGCACCATTGCTAGTTTTCTTCCCCAAACTGCAGGATGATACTAGCACAGGCAAAAAGGTGCTGGAAAACAATTTTTTTTTGATGGAGAAAAAATCCGTTAAATTTTTACCTACTTGAGAAATTAATGCCCGATAATTTATTATGCAGTTTAGATTTTGTATGCTATTATATAATAACTAAATGTCGAAATATTTCCTATAAATTTCTCGTCCGAGAAAATTATCAGAAATCCTTTCATCTCAAAGAAATTCATCTAGAAAAAAGTACCACCACAAAAGAAGTTATGCGTATACTAGTGCTTGTGGAAAAAGGGAGACATTTTTTTCTTTTGGAAGACGCTATCACAGGTCTGTGTTTCGGAGAATGACTTGAGCAGGATTTTTTTTTTTTGTTCTAAATAATAACGGTTCAGTCACCGGATTAGTCATACCAAAACCAGTCAAAAATTGAAAAGTCAAAACTCCCTTCATATTCGTTCTACGAGAGGATGCACTATGGGAAGTAGTCCGGCTGATCAATAAGTATTAACAGCAACCTGCAACCAACAAGGCCGTCGAAGGCTTTTTTTTCTGCGCGTTGCTTAAAAGCAAGCTGACTGAGAGTAGAACTCTCTACCAATTTGCTTTTAAACAACTTTTTGACACATGCCTGTACTATTTCATCATTGAAACGAATGAACGAATTGTAGAGGAACTAGTTGTTCCACTAGAGGAGTCCAACCGTTGGCTTACTGCATAAAAAAAGTGTTACCCCCCAATGCGCTAAATGCTCGCTAAGACTAGGCGTGTACTTTGCAGAATCAAAAAGAAGATGGGCGCACTAGCAAAGAAGGCAACAGATCAGTTGAAACGTGTTCACAAAAAGGAAGGCTAGTAAAAAAGGAAAGGGTAAGGTGCTTTGCAGAAAAAAAAAAAAATGCGGCTAGCAATAAGCTTTACACTCACATTAACAGCCTCATATTCTTTGCCAAGAAATTTGAACGGCTTGCTGAGTTTGACTGTCTGTGAGGAACCATTGAGCACTTTGTCACCTTTCGTTTCACCAAATGGATAGAGTCGTGCACTGAATATATATGGCACCGTGATATTGAGATCAATCTGAGGGGTATTCGAAGAATCAAACTGGCGCTTGTATCGATAGTGTCCTGCAAATTTGACCAATTTTTCTATGCTGAGAAATCAAAACATAAACAGTTGTAAGTTCCAAATTTCTCGAATGCTGCC